TATAAATAAGATAATTAGGTTAAGTTACTACCTATAGCATAATTCGTATATAATAGCGCGGTAAGAGAAAATACTTAGGAATTACCTTTCTTTCTTAACTATAGATTTAACCTTACTATATACGGAGAACCTCGACAAGGTTAGTAGCGATAAAAGCTATTATAAATATTAAGAAACTTAAGAAAATCTAAAAACTTATTAAAAGACTTAGAATTCGTATAATAACGAATAAAAAAATACGAAACCGTTTAAAGATAAAAAGACTATCTTTTAAGGAGGGAGATAACGCCTACCTCCTTAGACGTATATCAAAACGAAACGACTAGTAATAAACTCGACTTTAAAAAACTAAGACCTTTCGAAATTACGAAGAAAATTTCTAAAGTTAACTACGAGTTAAACTACCGGAAATAATAAAATATTACTTAGTCTTTTACGTCTTATTATTAAACTAGTACTAGACGGTATATATACCGAAGACTATATTATTATAAAAATAGATAATACTAAATACGAAGTAGAACGTATTCTAGACTACCGGAGGAATAACGAAATAATAGAATACTTTATTAAGTAGAAAAACTATAGATATAAAGACGATTCGTAGGAACTAGCTAAGAACCTAAAACATACTTAGGAAGAACTCTAATAATACTAGTACTAGAAGACGTCTCTAGACCTTAGTCGTCTAAACCGACGCTAGACTAATCTATAATGCTAATAATACCTAGGGAATAAAGTATACCTATAGTTTCTAAGCTAGTATTTTATAAACTAAGAACCTTGGAACGATACTTATTCTTAACCTCTTCTATATATTGCAAACTAGATCGAATAAGATTAGTCGCCTTACGATTAATATCCTTACGACGCCTTCGTAAACGACGAATCTTCGCTATAAAAGCTAACTACTCTTCTTTAGCTTTCTTAAGCTTATTATTAATTTTTATTTTCTATTACTAAACCTAAATAAGGGAAGCCGCGGAAGGATTATAAATATCGTAAGAATGCTTATTAGCAACGTAACGCGAATAACGAGAAGAATTAACTTCGGAAACGACATAGTCGACACTAGCAGCCGCGCAACCGGAACAAAGGATAGGCATAATAAACCTAAACAAATCGACAAGCTAGCTAAGTTCCTTATAAGCTATAAGGTTTTTTAATTTAGATTTTTAAACGCAACCTAATATAATATTAGCATTATAAATAAATAAGGAAGTATAATTAATAACTCCCTAACCTAGGAGCTACGACCTACTTATGTTAGCCTTAAAGATAAGACTATCGAGGGGAGACCTAATATTACGACCTGTTAGATATACTTAACAAACCTACTAGGTCGGGCGGCTACGACAGGACATATATACGTAGGATCACGGGAACAAGGGAAAACCTCTCGGCAAGGAAGAACTATATTACAAGTCACGTGAAATCGACTAATCAGGACAAAGTCGACAGAGTCGACAAGCGACTCTATAGACTCTTGTAAAGGACTAATTAGAAGAGAGTCGATAGAGTCGACGAGCGACTCTATAGACTCTCTAAGACATTAGGAAACGGGACTTATATATAGACCAGGACTTAAGCATCTGCTCAAGCCCTCTAGATAGTTCTTTAGCAATCAACTTATGATTCATCCTCGATAACTTTCAGCTTAGCTTATAGTTTATAATATTACTATACCTCGTTACCTAGTATAAGACTAATTACCTTACCCTAACCCTCGATCTACTAGTACGATATACCTATATACGACGCAAGACCTATTGTTAGTATCGTAGCCTTAACTTCTGTTAGCAGAAACCCTACTGTCACTAGCTGGCCGTAACACTTTGATTATAAGTATTTCTCTAAGGCTATAGCTTTAGAAGCGTATCTATACGTTAGATAGCTTACTTTCGCTACTACCTATATATACTATTAGAAAGGGAAAGTATTAATAAGTAAATAGTATTAAAGAAGTATAAATATTATATAGGAAGGAGAATCTTACGTAAGAATACGAGAAATAGGTAGAATTATAAGATCCGACCGTAGAAATATAGTAAATCGAAAGGAAGAATAAATACTTATAAAAGATATAAGAAACTAATAAGCTAGTTTAAAAAACTAAAGCTAAAATAGTTAAATTCTCGTAAAAACGAGGAAATCGAAGTAAAAGTATAGTTATAACTAAAAAGTCTATTATTATAGTAGAATTCCGTAGTATTTATAAAAACTAGTAGGTTATAGTAGTCGGTCGCGTGCTATGTGATATTCGTGCGCGCTAGGCAGCTAATATCGCGTTAGAAAGTAAAATTCGTTAGCGAAGAGGAAAGAAAGCGAGAAAATCGCATAGAAAGGTAAATAAAGTAAATAAAATCATAAAAATTCGTAAATCAATAGAAAATTAACAGACAAGTAGAATAATAGGTAGAAATAGGTAAAACGACGTTATTCCGAAAGAATAACGCTAAGCTTATAACCTATAGGCGAGAACCAGCATAGAACGCTTAGAATAGAAAAAGTAGTGTTGTTGGTGGAAGAACTAACTAACTGGCTAGAGGGCTGTGGAGGCTGGCTAAGACCAGTGGTGGCGGCCGTCAGCCCACGTGACGGGCCGGCGAGGCCTGCCACCCACAATTTACGACATAGAAATGACACCGCCGGCAGAATTCCTTCAGTCTCCGACCAAGAACTTCAATGTGGCTGTCGTCGGCGGCGGCATCGCCGGCCTTACGTTAATGCTCCAGCTCCTGCTTCATCGCATACCGACGACGCTCTATGAGCAAGCGTCAAAGTTTGGAGAGATTGGTGCCGGCGTTTCTTTTGGGCCCAATGCTCTGAGAGCCATGTCACTGATCTCGCCGTACGTCCGGAAGGCTTTCGAGAACCAGGCGACGTACAACCAGTCAGCGGATCACAAGGGTGTGTGGTTCGAGTTCCGGTACGGCGAGTCCTTTGACGGCAGACACAAGGAAGGCGACCTTATCTACCGGCTGGAATGTGAAGGCGGCCAAACCAGCATTCACAGGGCGCATTTCCTTGACGAGTTGGTGAAGTTGTTACCTGACGGAGTTGCCAAGTTTGGCAAGCGGGCTGTGGATTATGAAGATGATGGAAATGGCGTGTTGCTCAAGTTTCAAGACGGCACGACAGCCCGGCATGACGCTGTCATTGCTTGTGACGGGATCAAGTCCAAGCTGCGTAGTGTACTCCTCGGAGAGCAGAACCCGGCGGCGAAACCCGTCTTCTCTGGCAAGTATGCGTACCGCGGGCTTGTCCCCATCGAACAAGCCCAAGAGATGCTAGGAGAGAAGTTGGCCAAGAACAGCCAAATGTACTTTGGGAGGCACGGCCACATCCTCACCTTCTCCGTAGCAAAAGGCAAGATGATGAATGGTAAGTAAAAAGGTTTACGCGAGTGGAATGAGTTTGGGCACTAATCATAGTACCAGTTGTTGCATTTCGCAGTAAGGATGACTGGAACTCGGACGACTGGGTCGTGCCGGTGAAGAAGGAGGACATGCTCGCTGACTTTGAGGGCTGGAGCGAGCAAGCCCGGAAAATCATCCAAATGATGCAGAAGCCCGACGTATGGGCCCTTTTCGATCATCCGCCCAGCAACACATACTATCAAGGACGGGTATGTCTCGTCGGCGACGCCGCCCACGCATCAACGCCTCACAAGGGCTCCGGGGCGGGCATGGCGATTGAAGATGCTTATATCATGGGAAATTTGCTGGGCCTGATCGACAGCCCCGAGGAGCTAGAAACTGCCTTCTCCGTCTTTAACCAAATGAGAAGGGAGCGATCGCAGCGGCTAGTCACAGACAGCCGCGAGCAGGGTCACTTATACGAGTTCGAGCTGAATGAGGATCCTGAGTGGATTGCCAACAACCTATCAACGCGTATGGATTGGGTATGGAAGTATGATTTGACCCAAGAGCTGGAAAAGGGGCGGCGCCTATTACAAACAAAGGCACAATTATAAGATTTTAGGGTTTGAGAGATGATTTTCCAAACCGCAAACGAGCACAGTGTAGTGTTGAGGAGTTGATACTTGGGAAGTACAGCACAGCGTTCTTTCTTCTTGTTTAGTGGTTGTTGGAGGGATTATGTTGTACATAAGGTAGTATAAGCGAATAGTAAGCGTCCTATACAGTTTCTCACGTGCTACATGCACTTGTCAACACATGAAAACCAACCAAAACCCATCAAACAGTACGTTACAAACAATTCAAACCATGTAGTTCTGTTAAAAGTGGTTCTATTCGCTTGAGCCAATGTGATAATCTATGTAAATTTTAAACAAACTGAGAGGGAATCATGAAATCCATGCTATAATCTTATACACCGTTTTGTATACCCGATAAAAGAATCTTAAAGGCACATTGCACGCAAGACCTTAGTCAAAGTGGATGCGCCACAGCTCTCTCGGAGAGCCGGCCTTGAAGTCACTGCGAGTGTGCATTGCCAGAATGTTATCACTGACAAGCAAATCACCCTCTTCCCAGGAGAAGTACAGAGTGTTCCTGCGGTCGTGCAAGAGGGAGTCTATGATGTTGCAGATCTCGGCGCTCTCGCTCTCGCTGACGCCGTCGATGGTGATGTTGGTGGCGTCGAAGATGGTCTTGGACTGGGGCCAAGGCTCGTGATAGCGGATGCAGGCCTCTCCGGTCACGGGGTGAGGGATGACAAGAGGCAGGCCAGTCATCTTGGTTGCATCGAATGAGCTGGTCGAGACACTCCAAGTGAGCTTGGAGAGCTTCTCAAGGGGGAGATGGGGGGGCAGGCTGTCGAAGACGAGACGAGAGGGCGTGAAGAGGGTGAAGCCGGTGTCCTTCGGTGAAGGGGTCACCGAGGTGAAGAACTGGAACCTGCGGCAGTTCGTTAGATCTAATGTATGATTGTGGCGTGGAAAGTGGACTTACTTCGGAGGGTTGGGAAGAAGCTTCTCAGTACCGTCCTCCTGGAGCACCTTGTGGGTCTTGAACAGACCATCAAAGTGGAAAGGCATCCACTCGGCTGACAGAACGTTGTTCAGACCACGGGTGTCGGCACCCTGGTCCTTGACCTCGAGGACAAGACCGAACTTCCACGGCAGAGGGGTGCCGAATTCTTCCGACTTCTTGACAAACAAATCACGGTCCTTGGTCTTGGAAAAGCCACGCATGATGACGGGAGAGTTGACCTCGGCCAGCGCGCGAACCTTGGCGGCATCAATATCGTGGATGGAGAGCTTCTTGGGGCCGGCAGCCGGGCGAATGATCATGCCACAGGGGTACACGGGCTCGAACGTAACATCCTTGTCCCACTTCGTCAGGTCGCTCTTCTCGCGGAAGTAGCTGGGCCTGCCATCCTCGTAGATGAGCTCGTACTTGGGGTCGTTCTCGAAGTCTGACCGGGGGCCGGTGGTGAAGGCACCACTCAGGCTGAAAGCGATGGAGCAGTGCCAAGGGGTGGTGTAATAGGTGTTAGTGCGAAGGGGGCTGATGGGGATCTTGGTCTCGCCGACGGAGGGGTGAATGGATAAACGGATATGGTCACGGAAGTTCTCCCGCACCGCACGAGCAAAGGCCTGTATGTTGTTGTCAGTTTCTCCACCTACTTTCACAAATCTCGAACTTGACTCACGTCACCGCGCTGAAGCATCTGCTTGGAGATATACTCGATGCCAGCCTTGAACTTGGACTTCGAGCGGTCCGCCCCGATGGGGTAGACATGGCGCAAGTCAGTCTCGAGGAACTTGATGTAACCGCGATATGTCATGCAGGTGTCTTCATTCTTGGAAATCTCGTTGGAGGGGTCATAATCGGCTCTGCCGAAGGTGTTAAGGAGGGCTCGACGGAAGTTGGTGGCATTCGCAATGTAAGTGATCTCCTCAAGCTTGTTGGGAAGGTTCGGGAGGTGGACAAGATCTTGGAGACGGGAGAACTGGATATTGGTGAGATGCTTCTCGGCAGCGATGCCGCGCAAGGTCTCTCCATATGCCCAGACTTCCTTATCGGGAACACCAAGAAGATCTGTTTCCAAAGTGATTGGTAAGTGTGATGAGGGCTCCAGTTCGCAAGGTGACTAACCGTTATATACAAGTCCGTCAGAGATGATGGTCAACCTGGCACCAGGCTCATAGATGTCCTTGATGGCTGAGCAGAGGCCGTTCAAGTTGGCAAGAGCAAACTCGTCTGCCTTATCAGGAAGACGGCCAAGGACTTTGTCTGTTGTATTGGGAGACTTAAAGGGGAAGGCGGGCAGGCACAGACGAATCTCGCTCTGAGATTTGACTTTCCTGTAAATCTGGGAGAGGAATCCTAGTCTTCCCTCGAGTTCCGCTGCTTCTGTTTCGCTTGGCCGTCTTAGACGGTAACGACAGATGATGTCCAAGATGGCGGCTGCCACCGTTAGTGCTTCCTCGTCCATGATTTGCGATTCAATCTTGGAGAGAAGCTTGACCTCAGGCGACGGCTGGCGCGCTGGTGCTTCTATGATAGAAGGCATGTTGTATGTGTGTAGTCGTGTTGGCTTGTATTACTAGTCGGTTGCCTGTAGGAGGGGAGGGGTGGGTGTATGGAAAACCTTAAGCAAGTAAGGAACTAGCAACGAGGAGTGATTTCAGTAGGGCTAGAAGAGAAGGCCTGCTTTCGACTGGTATTAAGGTCTGGATTGGAGAGATAACAGTTCCGACAGCTTGGGAAGGGCGACTGGCTTATATTACGCTTGACATCTTAGCTAGATTGTCCTAGGCTATATGTTCGGAATACTACTCTCGGAGATGATGTTCACATGGAAGCTGTTACAAGGAGGAGGATGAGCAGCGGCATTGCCCGCCAAAGCTGCATCAGGTCACATATGGCCATCCCCCCGTTTGCTGACCCATAATGGACATATTCCGCATCTGGTTGTCCTCTGCCACCTTTTCCGGGCACCCACTATTTTCTTCCATGGTTATTTTTTTTTTTTTTAATCTGACCGGAATATCGCCACAGGAGTTAACCTGTAGAGGAGGGTAAGATACAGACAAGGCAATAATCGGAATCAAAATGTACCCGGCACTTAACCCAGTCACCCCCATGCATGACAATATTGACCAATTTACAGGCGGCATCCCATCGTCGATCGAGTCAGGGTTCCCACTCCACGCTGGGCCAAGGACCCAGCAGGATCAGGAAAGCCTCATGCGCCTTGTAAATGTGCCATGTTTACGCAGCAGCTCTAGTACCCATGTGTTTCTTACTACATACTGTGGGCACAGGTTCATAACAAGCGGCAAGGGGGGGAAAGGATTGGTCAAATTTCCAAGATGTGGTGTATGCAGCCGCGCGGGAGATGTCTAGGAAGGTGGCTAGATCCTAGCTAGGTCGCCGAAGAAGTGTGGAGAAGGGGGGACCCCCAGCTAACGAAGAATCGAGCCACAACGGCACCAGAACCTGGCAGATAACTTCTTCCCACTAGTTTACCGCGGCAGATGAGATGTCGTCTGAGTAGGGGGCCAGATTCAGTTTGCGGCAGGACCCTCCCGCGGCTGTCGACACAAGGCTCCCCCCCGGGCGACAGGAAAGACGCCTTACCCGATCGGCTAATGTGCTCCGGGGATGGGTACCGGAGAGGTCTGGAGAGTCCCGGAAAGGCACGGCCTTGATTCCTTACAAGGGCAGGTCTATCCAGAGGCCGCACTGCATTGCTACATTGGCGGGCCGTGGCACTTCGTGGGATGTCACATTGAGATCGTCGGATGAACCTTCAGGTTTGTCAAGTCCCTCTTCGCCCTTCTCAGCTGAAGGGGTTTTGCGGAGTCCATCCACAGGTGTGTGTAGCATTCGATTCCATGTCAGGAATCTCCTCGGCGCACCCCGATATCAGATGATTGTTGTGATATGCCTTCGACATCGGCCTTGCCGTGCTCGGCGCCTGTCCGGGCCTCCTTTCGGTGTCATCAAAACCATTCCGCATCTAGACCTCCGCGTCATATCGTCCCCGTTTCTAGATATTTGATGTGTCTCATCAGCTAACCCCCCCCCCTGGCCTGATCGGCTTAGCAATCGGTAGTCGTTCGACTCGGATCTTTTTGATCTCATTTTTTCCCCTTTCTTGGGTCGCCGAATCTCGTAATTGATTGCTATTACCGGAAGCCATATCAACCGCATGCACCAAGCTCAAAATCCAATTTGAAGTTATTCCAATTCCTCCAAACAAGACTCATACGCACTCCTTCTTTCCTTTCTGCTTCTTCACAAGACACAAAAAAACACATTCCACATTTTTGTGTCCCCCTTCACCCATAGCAATCATGGGCTCAATTCCTCGCGATGAAACTGAGGTCGACTTGACCATTGTCGGTGGTAAATCTTGCTCGGATCCGAGCCGTCGTTGGTGATCACGTCTGATCTTTATCAATAGGTGGACCGACAGGCCTTCTCACTGGGTACCTGGCTGAGTCGTTGGGCGTTTCTGTCTGTATTATTGGTGAGTTTGCATGAGTCCACGGGCCCAGACACCCACAACTAACAACCAGCCAGACAGCAAGGAAGGCCCTCTGGAACTCGGTAGAGCTGATGCGATGAATGCTCGCACTCAGCAATATCTCGAAGTTGTGGGCATTCTTGATCAGCTCCTTCCTCAGGGTATCACATGCAACAGTAAGTTTGGCGTTGTGGCCTGCGTATTGTAGTCAATTCTTTGCTCATTTTTCCTCCAGCAAGTTCGACTTTCGCGGATGGCGAATTCAAGTCTAGGCAAAGCCATTGGTGGACTGGTCTGGAGCACACTTTTCGCAAGAATTTCTTGATGCTCGGCCAGCCAGTTATTGAGCAGGAGCTCTCTTCGAGACTCAAGACCAAAATCTCATATGGAGAGACTGTGTCGGCTATTACTGAGGACAAGGCCGGTGTCGTCGTCACGACAAACAAGGGCCGCACCATCCGCAGCAAGTACGCTCTTGGAGCTGATGGCGCACGCTCCACAGTGAGAAACGCCCTCGGCATCAGCTTCACCGGTACGAAACCGGAGATGGTTTGGGTCGTGCTCGATACTTTCATCGACACGGATTTCCCAGTGTGCTCTGAAATCATCACCTTCCAGCTCAACGGGCAAAGCCGAGTGTCATGGATTCCCAGAGAGCGCGGAATGGCTCGCTTCTACATCTTGCTCGATGGTGAGATTACACAACAGAGAGCGGAGGATTCGATCCGGGAACACATGACTCCTCATCGGGTAGACTTTAAGAAGACGGAATGGTTTAGCACATTTGATGGTAAGCTCACTTTCTTGGCGTCTCGAAGAAAAAGAAAAAGAAAAAAAAAATAATGCCGTCGATAAATTAAACAACGGGGCTGCTGACACCGAAATGCAGTGAAGGAGCGCATTGCAGGAACCTTTGTATCCCAGAATGGCACCGGGCGCATCATTTTGGCAGGTGATGCGGCACACGTTCACTCAGTCAACGGAGGCCAGGGCCTCAACACCGGCGTAGCGGACTCGTTTGCTCTTTCGTGGAGACTCGCAGAGGTCCTTACCAACGATAAGCTCAGCGCTGCTTCTGTCGAAAAGCTCATCAAGAGCTACGATATCGAGAGACGCACAGTAGCTCAGGGCGTCATCGACGTCGCCGCGGCCCTGGTGAGAGACACTGTTCACACAGCCAAACAATACGTCTCCACCATTGAAAAGAATGCTGGTTACATCACAGGTAAGATTTTCTCCAATCCGACTTGCTTGTTCCGAGCAGTGTGACGTTGCGCCCCTCAGGGCTGGTAGCGTTTCCTGTTCCCCCAAACTTTGTTGTCTTGAACCCCAGGAAAAAGAAAAGAGGGGGGAACAGAAAGCGGGATTATGTGTTTCCAGAACGCCTGGTTTCCCATCTGCGGGAACACGTTTTCTCTGCTCCACATGGCTTAAAGCCGACCGAGCAGAGAGTTTCGGCTAACTTTGCTTATTCTAGGCATGGGTGTGTCCTACGATGGCACTGGCTCACCCCTGGTCCAAGGATCCACGCAGGGCATCTGGACACCCGGTCGGCGCTGTCCAGACGTCTACCTCAAGTCGTTCGATCAAGAAGCAAAGAGGTTGTATGAGCTTCTCGCGGGCAAGTACGGCAAGCACCTTGTGTTGAAGATTGGACGACAGCAGAATCAAGTATCCACCTCCAAAACCGACCTGGAGAGCGTAGCCAAGGTTTTCACCGTCAGCCCCCACAAAGCGGAGACTGGTACAACACAAGGCGAAAACTCTTCTGCTACAGAATCTGCTTTTACGGCTGAGTGGGTGGGCGAAGATGACGACTTTGTGGTTGTTGTCAGGCCAGACATGTATATTGGCTATGTCGGTCAGGATGAAGGGTGGCGGGAGTACCTCTCATACTTGACTCAGTAAAAAATGGGGGCGTTGTGTTGATTTGCGAAATGTCACGGAGGGTTCTTCTTTTTTTGGTGTTATTCCCTTGTTCTATTTTTTTTTTTTTTTTCCCTTTCCAGGACTTTGGGCGTTGAAGCAGAAAGCCAGAATCATAGAGCATAGACACACTACCTTGTATGATGAGTATTCCCAGCCAATGAAACCATCTTAAGTGATCTAAGCTTGTCCAGTCCTTGTCCAGGGTTCTTCTCCCGGCTTTCGTCACGGCTATACGCTTCATGTGTATGCCAAAAAGGCATTCTCCAGCAAAGGCCGTCGGGGACATCCGCAATTTCAATCGCCTGTTTGAGGTGGATCACCGTCTAATTTTCAGGAGAGCCAAGACCGAAAGTCCGAGCTTGATACGGATACGTGGTATAGGCTCACGATGTCCCGATAAGGCGATCCATCAACAGGAATCCGCACTCTAATCTTCAGACCACTGCGTTTTGCAAACAGTTGTGGCCCTCAAATGAGGCTCTGATGCACGCTCTGTTCCGCCACTGCGGAAATACCCAAAGGAATGTGGGCTGAACTTGGATGAAACTGGGATTCAAGTGTGATCAGAGACATAGCTCCGTTAAACAAGCACGGGCTATTCCGATGTCTATCCCTACACATGCCGGAATAGAGGACTGAAGAATGACAACGGGGTACAGGTCCCTGATATTGTCCGTTTATTCTTTAATGTCCCTGTTTTCTTCTTCCAGCCTAGGAGACTGTGGAGGATCCCTCATCGATGAGTCGTTAACCAGTGATGAAATGACGGGGTTCGCCGCCGCTCTGCCTATTTTTTCCGTAGAAAGAGAAATGATGACACAGAGGCTCTAGATCGCGCTCTACTCCGAACCATGCTCGGGGTTTATTTTTTTATCTTTATTTTTTGTTTTTTCCAAAGAGTACCCGCAACCAAACAACGGACTGTGCCCGAAACAGGTTCACAGACCCCTTTCCTCATTCACCATCGTCTAATGTCCCCATAACCTAAACTACAATGGCCCAAAAGCATCAATCGGCACTCCACTACTCCGAGGTTTCAACGAGCTTCCAAATGCCTCAACTCCGTGCGACTCCTCAATACCGATATAGTTGGAAAGTAGTTCGCAATGTGGCCTGCCGTCTGTGGCTTCTTCAAATGGCGGACCGCCCGCCTTTTTTGCGCGTTCTTCGTATCATGAAATGAGATTCTTGAGTCGAACATATTGGTGGTGTTGCGACCTTCTTCATCTGCATACCCTACCAATCTGCATTGTCGATCCATGAACGAGCCGTGGCCAATCCAAGCGCCTTCGAGTTTAGCCTCAATATTCCCAGTTGCCCAAACGGTATTGCACCGAACCGATTGATCAAGGACACCCAATCACGACACCACCCCAGGACCTTGCATTATCACCTGTACACTAATACGGAGTTCGCATGGGAGACGCGCCCAAGCAAGGAGGGAAGACGCAATCTAATATTTCCATCTAGAGCGTCGATACGACGCTGTCTTTGGGGGCTGAAGAATGCGGTTTTCTTCGGATAAAGAAACCTCCGGCCTCGCCAACAATGACCAGGATGGACCGCAAATTCTTTCAGAGATGGAGGAGGGGAGCGCCCTCGACGAGTTGACACCGCCACAGTCAGATCCTGCTAAGCTAGCGGGACCCCCGAACGGTGGCGTGAAGGCGTGGCTGCAGGTTCTAGGGTCGTTTTTCATTTATTTCAACACATGGGGTAAGTTAGATCACCTCGGACTCGATATCCTAAAGCAACAGGCCTCCCAATGCAACGTCAGCGCGTATCTGCAAGAGTGCCCACATAAACCGATGCCTAGGGCCTGTAGATACAGAATACAGAAGACCCAAAAAAAACAATGTTAAAATATGATACATCACAGCTGACATAGCATGCGGTAAAACAGGTCTAGTAGCGAGCTTCGGAACATTTCAGGCCTATTACGAAGACGACCTGCTAAAGGATTACACCCCCTTCGCCATATCCACTATTGGCTCACTGCAGAGCTTTTTAATGGTGTTTTTGGGTTTCATCGCAGGCCCCATCTTCGACTTGGGCTACGCACGCCATCTCCTCTGGGTGGGGTCCCTGTTAATTGTCCTCGGAACAATCACCCAGAGTCTCAGCCACAACCTCTGGCAACTCCTCCTGTCCCAGGGCCTCTGCGTTGGTGTAGGAATGGGCAGTCTGGCCGTCTTGGGTGTTGCTGTGCTATCACCCTGGTTCACCACCAAGTTGCCGATAGCTACAGGCATTGCCGCGGCAGGCAGTGGTGTTGGCGGGTAAGTTTGCTCGGGATATGTTGAAATTGGGAAGCATCGCACGTCGTTTTAGGGCTGATTTTGACTTTTTCTTGCTTCTACAGACTGGTTCTGCCCATCATGTTCCGCTCGCTGCAGCCCGACATTGGCTTCCGCTGGGCTGTGCGCACCATGGCGCTGGTTGCGTTGACGACGCTGTGCATCTCCATCGTGACCATGCACACCCCAAAAGCCTCACCGCGGCGCCGCGCTTGGATCGACCGGTCCGCGTTCCGAGATGTCCCTTATCTCCTCTTCGTGTGCGCCTGCTGTTTCGTGTTTTTAGGCATGTACACCCCTTTTGTCTACGTCCAGAAGTACTCTCTGGCCACCAACACCGCGACGCCGCGAGTCGCTACCTATCTGCTCTCCATTCTGAACGGTGCGTCCATCCTCGGCAGGACCATTCCTAATCTGTTCGCGTCGCGCCTCGGAGTGATGAACATGCTGGTGGTGGCAGTGCTAATCCTGTCGGTCTCGGCCTTCTGCTTGATGACCGTCAGCAGCGCGCCCGGCTTGATCGTGGTTGTCTCATTTTACGGATTCAGCAGCGGAAGCTTCTTCTCGCTGCAGCCCACCACTTACACGCAGATTACGGCGGACCGGAACTACATTGGAACTAGGCTCGGCATGGCCTACTCTGTCATGTCCATTGCTCTCCTGCTCGGTTCTCCGGTAGGAGGTGCATTGGTGCGACAATTTGGATACCACAGCGCCTGGATATGGGCCGGAGTATGCCTCGCAGTGGGGAGCATTTTGATTGCATGTTCAAGAGGAATGGCAACTGGTTGGAGGTTAAGCCAGAGGTTATAATGTCTTACACGTAAACATTGACGCACTTCAGCGCATACGAAAGCAAAACGACATCAAAACGATAGACTAGATTTTAGAATACCCACCACTTAATGTTTATGAGCTACGCAACTGGATACATAGTCCTCAATAACGGGTCGTTGAATGACGAAGATTGCATGTACGTCTGGAGCAGCCGAGTTTCGATCTTATAAGAGCAACTGTAGCATATAATAAGCCCACTGGCCCTTTGTTGTTACAAGATTTGAGGGAACTACTCCGCACACCTGTTTGTTTGTATGCGAGTTGCCTACCCGCCGCATCCCCACTTCCAAAAGGGAAAAGTTTACGCTAGAAAACAAAACTTGAGGATCCACTCGATTTGGGTGGAGAGACAAAAGGATTGGGCCCTAACCAGGGATCGAACCTGGGACCTCTCCCAGACTGAATTATCTGATGATAACCCTAAGGGAGAATCATACCGCTAGACCATCAGGGCTGTGATTCTCAGGCTTTGCTGAGTTGTTGATTCCAGCCGCAAAATGCATGGCTAAGGACTCTTGGCTACCCTTCCAACGCCATCCAAGAAAGCTCTGCTTGTTTCTACAAGAACTTTCTAGCAGGTTACAATGAAGGACTGTTCACTGGTATGGACTTCAATACATCATATCCTCCCCCAACAAGTTCATCAACTGTTGATTTCCATAAAACCAGTCACTGAGGCCGGTTATTTGGGACTCATCTGCGACCAAGGCCTGAAATCTCTCGGTCCCCGCCTCCAAGCTAGGAAGATGAGCTGCTAAATCGACCTCAGTTGAGATCTCCGGCAAGCTCTGGTTTGCAGCTTTCGTAGAAACCTTTGCGCCAGATTCCCCATAGAGCCTTGCAACCTTGCAAAGGAGTTGATAAAGCCGATGCGGATGAGTTACACTCTCTGATGATGGATAATCAGGTTGCAATGAGTTCGCGAAGCGATCAAGTAAAGCCAAGTCCGCGGCATCGGACGACCTGATGGCATGCGTGAAAAGGATGCTAAAAGAAACGAACGGAATGTTCAGAATGGCCCTGGTAAGGTGACATTAGCCGGTGAGCAAAAACGAAATTGTACGAGTCTTCAGATCAGGGTCACCAACTTACCAGCTGATGTATTTCTTTAAAATCGAGGAGTCAGTTTTGCAGTTTCGTATGCTCGTCATGCACTGTTGATGAACGTCCAAGGTGAGACGAGCCACGGCAACGCATTCATCTGAGGCGCCACTCAAGGAAGCCCCTTTGGCGGGAACGGCACGGAGAATCAGAGCGAGCAGCGACGAATGGCATACCAACTTGCATTGATGATAGAGTATGCGCAATGGATCTTCACCTGCCTCTACTGGCTCATTCGTGATATTCTGTGAGCATCGTTAGCCAGGAGGTTTCTTGACGATATCAAGGGTTGGATTCGCTAACCTCCAGGCCGGTATGAACTTCGTGGATGATTTCTCGCATTTGATTCGCTAGTACTTCTGCGTCGCGGCCTCTTTCATCGTCAGGTCTTGATAACCCCGCTGGGCTGTAGAGTTGATCGTAGACTTTTCCTTGTATCCTTGCTAGCCTTGTACCTTGTGTCTCATCTGCTGTGTCAAAAGGCAACGTTATGTCGGCATCCCGAAAGTTGGGAGGTCTGTCAAGCTGCAGAGACAGTCCCTTGTCGAGGTTGTAAACAGACCAGAACAGCTTGATTTGTAGAGGCTGGAGGCTTCCATCTTGTCCTGGTCGAGCTGGTCTGGAGCGATGATACCCTAACGCGTGGCAGAGGCTTGCTGCAGATGATATGAAACTCCAAGCTATCGTAGCATTAGAGTTCTCCATGGCATCGAAAGCCTAATCTACCGTCAGAAAAAAAATCAAGTTAGTATTATAGGCGGGAAACCTTACAGCTACTACCAACGCAGCAATAGTATCCATGGACGAGGGTAGAATAAGTGGGAGCATCGATACAGAGTTACGAAGATTCTTTCTGCACATCAACCAATTCTCCCTGTAGTCATCCAGTCCAGTTGTGATGACATGTTCAGCAAAAACATAGGCCAAATAACCATTGGCCAAGATAAAGTCAATCGTACTGTAGTTATCAACTGCGAAGTACACCTTTTGGCATTTATCTGCAAAATAATCCAAAGGGAGGACTTGCGATATTCGAGCAATGCGGAAAAAGTGTTCGCGAGCTAGCGATATGTCAGAAATCTACGACTTTATCTGGGGATGCCCTCTTACGTCTAGCCCACCGCAAAACATCCAAAGTAGCTTCTAGAGGAGGCATCGGTGGTCTTTTATCGTGCGCTACGGTGAAGGCACTGCCATTTGGTATATACTGGCTTCTGGCTGGCAAAGGATCTTCCAAAGTTCTCGTAAGGTTCGCCAAAGATGATATGATTTCAGAAGCTTCTGTTCCTTTATCCTGTGACGTGAGGTTTATATCATCAAGGATAGATTTGAGAAGGTTCGTGACATGTGCGGAATGATCCCACGACGATCCGCTGGCAGAGTCGCTGGCTATGTCATTTCCAATCGGGTTTCTTGCTGTTGTATGCTGACTCAATTGAGTAACTGCAACTGTTGAATCTTTTGGAGTTGCTGGCAATTCAAGTCTTTCTAGAAGGTGCCTGATGCCGTCGATTCCATTTGCAATGTCATCAATTTTCTGTTCGCTTAGTGAGGAGAAAGACGTTAGTCAACACTAACACGATGGGATGATTTGATATTACTTGCACGGTTCAGAAAATAGATGAGCATCACTTACTATTGTGCTGAAATCAAAATTCTCTGCTTAGGGGCGGTCGACGTATTGGATGCTACTGCACTGTGGGTGCAACTGACCCTGGCAGTGACACAATTGGAACATGGTGACCCTCTATCGCATCCAATCTGGTCGCCTCAGCTGTCAGCTCTAACTACGGTTGATTTTATGATGCAAGAGATGAGGCGAACCTTTCTTGCGCGGCATTGGTCACACTATCTAAATCCGTCAGAACATGCTAAAAATAAGGCATGGTTAGACTTACCGAGCGACGGGCAATAGTCGGGCGGGTTCTCAACCGATTTTTACCGTGTTCTCCGCGGGATTCCATTGTGTAATGGGACAGCGAAACTTGTGAGCAAATGAAGCATCATCGATGTGTCTAGGACATAGCAATGCGAGCTGCTTCTGGGATGACAAATGGAGAGGTAGTTGAGCCTCCACAGTTCGCTGACGTATCTCGGACAATTACCCCGGACTCAGTCCGGTGTTGTGCCGCTACAGTCCGTTGCACTGACAGCGTCCAAAAATCGAGTTTTTACCCCCCTAGGGTGGGGTTAATGCAAACCCATGCTAAACTCCGTTTTTTTCGCTGGGAAAATTACAACGGTCGCATTCAGCTGCATTTAGCCACCGTATCGTCAAATCTACTCATTTCAACGCGTCAGTATGGCGCCACGTCTCTCAAAACTCCAGCTGAGGAAAGTTAACCTACTTCTTCCCTCTGTTATTCAAACCGACGAAGAAATCGCAGAGGCGGTTGGCTGTAGCCAACGAACGATTCGACGATGGCGTCGTCGATTCGACATAACTGGCGAGGTAGAACAATACCCTCGAAGGCGTGAAAGCCAGCAGAAGATGGAAATACAGCATCGGAACGAACTTCTCGAATTATTAAAGTATCGTAACGACCTCCTATTCGAAGAGATGCAAGAATTCCTATACGAACAGTTCAACCTCGAAGTCAGCAAATCAACGTTGAGCCGCCACCTCCACGCAGCTGGCTGGACGAGAAAGAAAGCCCACATAATTGCTTCACAACGAAACCCAGAATTACGGTACGATTGGTTATATCGTATACGTCGATACCACCCAGAACAATTAATATTCGTAGACGAATCAGGCGTTGATAAAAACACTGGAAGAAGAAGGACGGGTTGGGCGCCTAAGGGTCTGACGCCAACGCGGTCAGTTCCCCTCGAGCGAGGTCAACGGATACAACTGCTGCCAGCACTCGCAATTGACGGTATCGTAGACTTGCTGGTATATACTGGATCGACGAATGGCGAGGGCTTCTCTGCGTGGATACAGCAACTTCTACTGCCAAAGTGTGGAATATTCCCTGGGCCTAAGTCAGTGATTATAATGGATATTGCTTCTTTTCACCGGCAAGGGGATATACGGCAAGCGTGTGAGGCCGCTGGCGTACGCCTCGAATTCCTCCCGCCGTACTCACCTGACTTTAACCCCATCGAGGAGTATTTTGGCGACCTCAAAAAGCATGTAAAAAAGACATTCCGTACGTGGAATACTAACGAACTAGACGAGCGTGATTTTGCTGAGTTTCTCCGCGACTGCGCGCTTGAGGTTGGGCAACGTCTCCCACAGATAGCTGGGCACTTCCGTAACTCATATATCAACTTCGACGGCACACAGGATATCTTCTGTGACGCTATGACGAGTAGCGATATGTATATTGAGGCAGGAGGAGAGTTGAATCCACCTCTTGTAGTAAATAGTTGTTGAACTTGTAGTAGGAGAAGTAGGAGAAGAAAAACATGAATAATGCCTGTATTTACAACCTCAAGTCAGGCCTATAGTGAAATAAATCGTATCCGTGGCGTATCAAAGTGCTCTGCTACCTACCTAACGGTCTTTGGGTTGATCCTCCCGGGTGTTGCAGGGCAGCTCACATCCACAAGCAAGGCTTTCCGCTAGCAGTAGTCGCTGCTATTTATCCTAGTTTAACCTCCTCTTCCTCTTGGGTATAAGGCGACGATATATAGTCTGAGACTTCGATCGGATTTTGTTCGGTATTAGGAGGAAGGATTGGTGGCGGCGGCGAGGAGACGAAGAGGTCTAATTCTAGTTTCTGGTTAGTTGACGCCGTCACTTCCGTCAATATTACTCACCACCTCGACCAAACTCAATATCGCCAGTTGGCAGCGGTGAGGAGATCCTACCCGCTGGAACGCTTATTTCGCCTACTTTACTAGCGCTTCGTTCGATATTGCCTGTTTCTCCGAATCGCTCGTCAAAAAGTCGGTTATACACTTCGTCTTCAACCTCACGGTCAACTGCTGGCTTTTTCGTTGCCTGTACGAGTGATTGTACAGCGGCGAGAGGTTCGCTCTGTTGGAGGTAAAATTGCTGTGTTGTAGTGAAAAGTTTGATCGATTTTCTCACTGCTGCGGTAAGTTGTGGTGAAAACCCTACCTCCTTGAACCAGCTGTCTGGGTAATCACGAATAACGCGGAGACTGACTATTGAAGCCTTTAACGGAGTAAATTTCACTTCGTCAATACCCAACTTCTTGCCGTTCACAGCTAGAAACCACGAAACGAACTCATCAACTTGGCGTGTTGCTTTTGAGGGCGAATCAGGAACAACTGGCGACGAAGAACGAATCGGAGCCTCTACTTGCCGACGGGCAGAGTAATCACCTGACTGCGGTTGAAATTGAGGCTCAAGATCCCAATATTGGGGCGGCATCGTTGGCGGCGGCAACTTTGGCCAATATTGCGTTGGGCCGCCTGGCGGAGGTAGGCCATAGAAGTTGACTACTGCGCTATTATTATTGGCAGTATTTGCTGGGTCTTGTGTGTCTGAAAGCCCTCTATTAGCAGACTTTTCACCTAGGCTATTTTGGCCTCCTCGATTTGCTGATTTATCGGGCTTTTTCATATCGCGTTGTTCACGCTGAACAAGATCAACAATTAGGCGGGCAGGCGGGTTTGATATTGATACGCCTTCCTCGCCCTTCTGAATAGCTTCTTGCCACTTCTCGAAATCAAATACGGTCAGTTTATAGTGTTTTCTTGCGTTGACCCAGCACCAGTTAACTGTTGGATCAGCTGACGAGGTATTCTGACAGGTTGCTGAATCGTTACACTGATTATGGCGAAGAAGGTCTCGAAATAACTTCCTCTTTCGATCGCCTTCTGTTTCAATCGCTTGAAGCATCGTATTTGTTACAGTCTGACGTTGACTAAGTCGAGACGGTCGCCCTCGTGGTGATCCTACGCCTTCTAGCTCTCCTACTGCGGCTACAGTAGGAGTGACAGAGTAGGCCAGTTCAACATCGAGAAGAACCTCACCAAGGCGACTATTCTCGATAATTTGCTTCGAAATATCATACCATGGAACAACCGGCCAGTTGCCACTGTCAACAGCGAATTCTTCGCGGTATACAATAGTTACTGCTTTTAATCCTATTCTTCTCCAGGCGATTTTCGTGGTAATCCAGCTCTTCTCGATATTATATTGTGCCCTTAAACGGGCGTCGATTCGCTTCGCCAAATCCCTCTCGATTTTCGACCACTGGATAATCAACTTATGACCAACTTCGCTCTCCTCGTCAAATATCCACTTGTATATAGTCTCAGGAAGCTTTGGCGGCGAGCGACCGCCTGAGAAGAGAGGAGTATACGTAACAGTTAAATTGATTGACTGTGGTTGCGTTCGTCGAGGAGTTGGGGTATCAGGTAAAGGCCGTCGACCAGGCCTTGCCGGCGTAACAGCAAAAGGATCCTCATCGAGGTTGAGGTTATATTGAAGTCGCTGGCCCGGCGTTGACTGCCCAATAGCTTGGTGTTCATAGTGGCCTGCCGGTTGGGTTTCCTCGACTTCGTCAACTTCGAGGTTTTGTTGAGTTATTCCTGTCTCTGTTTCTGCTAACTGAGCAACCCTCTGGGCTGGGGAAGGGATCACCACTACCCGACGGCGTCGAGGTGGCTTAACTGGGGTCTTCGCTGGCTCTGACGCCTGCGCCCTCGCCCTCGCCCTCGTACGTACGATAACTACCCTCGACGGCGAGCCGGTTGTTGTATTCGTCTCTAGGGCTTTTGCTGTTTTCAATCGCTTTCGCTTCGCCGGCCCAGTGGTATTATCAATTGAGGGGGCCCGAGCCCGCCGAGGAGGCATCACGAAAAGCTTTTCACGAGATATTGTAATTTACAGAGATTTCACTACGTGGGCCCCACGAAAGTGGCCCAATTGGGCTACAGTGGCCAGTTTACACCAGTTGGGCCAGTTGGGCCAGTTTGACCCCTGTTGTGATAGTTTACTGATTTTCGGGGTTAATAGGCTAAAATCCGATTTTTGGACGCTGCCAGCGAAACGGACTGTAAGACACCCAAGCGAGGGAAACGCGCGGATTTCCGGCCAGCGCCCCAGAACCTCACCTTTGTAACCTGATTGGCTTACTTGTGAATCCATCTCATGGTTTACAATCCATTCACTGTGCCTGAAGACAGGTCTCCAAGATAATTACTAAGGACGCATAATTGCGTCTATGCCAAGCCAACAGTGAAATCCATGATAAAAAGGGAAATTGAGACCGCAAAATGAAACGCAAAACGAAGTAGACAAGGAGGCTAAAAGCTGTTGTATATCTTCACGTACCAACCAGATTCCTGTGTTTCAATCATGAGCCAAAACATTCTCATCACAGGCGCCGCCGGATTTATGTAAGTTGCTTCAACTTAATCATGCCTACCAGACTAACAACTCCGTAGTGGCGGCACAGTCCTCGCAAATTTTATCGGACTCACAGAAGGTCCTATCGCGGGTACCAACATCTTTGCTGCCGTCCGATCGGAAGAGCAAATCAAGAAGTTATCCAAGCTTAGTGTCAACTTAATCCAGCTTGACCTCAACGACGAACAGGCTGTGAAAGAAGCTATCTTGGGTAATAAGAGTAAGTCACCATGCACTGGGGAACACCGGGATTTAGCACTCACATTTTTCAGTTGATATTATTGTCCATACCGCAGGTGCTGTCGATCCACGTCCTATATCAAACCTCGTCAAGGGGCTGGGTGATCGTCGCAAGATCAAAGGTCAAGATACTTACTTCATCCACGTAAGCCACCTCTCAAACGAGCATTGTCATGGACTCACAATTTTGTAGACATCTGTCGCCACTATATTCACCGAAGAAGGTGGTTGGCCAGCTGGCGAGGTCAAAGACACTGACGACCTTTTCGAAAAAGAAAAGGAAATTGGGGGCCCCAATCATGTTCGATTGGTACGTCAATTCGAGACCTATAAGCACTGTTGTCATGTTGTTACGAGTAATCTAACACAAAAGTAACGAAAGACCAACATCCTCTTGATGGATCAAGCCGAAACATTGGGCGTGACTGCCTTCAATATTCCGGTGCCGGTAGTCTGTTAGTAACTGACAGCGACGTTTCTTTATTTTTTAGGGATATGGAAGCTGATAATCTACTAGATGGACGAGGCACTGGCGAGGGCAGAAAGCTGTCCGTCAACATACCAGCCTTTGTTAGGGCCAGCATGAAACACAAAATCGTCTATAAATTTGACAAAGACGGGGTAAGGACTAAATCTTAAAATGCCTCTAATATTCAAGAGAGCTTCCATGACTAATTTCCTCAAAAATGATAGAAACCACCTGGAGTGCATGTTTCGGATTTGGCAGACCTGTACAGACTTCTCACTGAGAAAATCCTATCCAAGGAACCCATTCCCAGCGGGCGAAAGGGTTATTACTTCGCCACTGTTCATCAATTATCTTGGTGGGAAGTGATGGATCGCATCGCTCAAGCCATGTATGCGCGTGGGCTTGTGAATGAGCCAACTGTTCAAATTTGGCCGAACGAAGACATGGCGGCAGAATCTTGCGGTTTTCCACGATTGTACCTGCGTGCTATAGGTACATCTAGGTGAGCGTATATTTTGACGTTTATTTGCAAATTAATAAATGATCTTTGACTGACTTTTGTTAGTGGCGAGCATGTTCCAGTAAATGCGTACAAACTTGGATGGCAACCGAAATGGACTCGGGAGAAATTCATGGAGTCCATTGATGACGAAGTTCAAGACGTTCTTGAGCTTGATAGAGTCAAAGCCAGTCTTTTCGATGATATCTTGTCATCATGAATCAGGCTGGTGTTGTAGAGATGGCTACATGCCGTCGATCTTGATTCTCGGCTTTGTCATCCATTAGCTTCACATAATAACCAGTATTACAGAGTCTGGATCATTGAAGTTCATTTCTGATTGGGTCTATCGTTCTTTACTAGCAGATTGAAATAAAACTTGTCAATACGAACGCGTGCCTCACTCCCATCGGTCAACTCTGACTAGAAACCTCTGAAAGCTCTTCTAACAAGCACGGCAACAGAAGGTACAACCAAAATCGCTGCTATCATGCGCCGTCCTTCTAATGTACTAAATGCTTCAATCGCGCATGCTGATGTCATCTAGATAACAAGATAATTCTAGACCAAACGCCGACGCCATGAACAATTGCCATAAAACCTATCCATCACAACTTGGGGTTGAATCTGCTCCGAATACGCTCGCCAAACAGATAGAATAAAAGAGGAATAGGAACCAGGGCCAGGGCAATGAAACCCAAAAGGCTGTTGCCCCATCCAAGGCCAAGTGCGTTGTACATCTCTAATCCGCCCAGGGGCAAAAGCGCACCGGCCAAAGACCTGAGGACGGCCAATGCAGCGGTCACTGAGGCTGCGTAACGAGGATAAGTATCCAGGAGATAGTTTTGTACACAGGTCTGTAAAAATTATTAGCGGCCGATTACTAAACCAAGGAAAAGTAGAGAGACAACGTACCATGACACCCATCAGGCCCGCGCTGAAAATGACGACACCGAGCATAGGGACAATATAGTGAACGTGCTTCTCCACAGTCCACCCGTATAGGAAGAGACCTATAGGAAGAACAATACCACAAGGCATTGCCAAAGCAGGAGTGAGACGAATTTCCGGCCTGTGTGGCAAGCCTTTGTCCTTATTCCTCTTGACAACATAGTCGGTAAGTCCGCCGAACAACACTACACCAATCATCATGCCGATACCAGCAGGAAGAAAAGTGAGGCCAACAGTTCCCTCGTCAAAGCCGTAGAAATCCTTAAACACGAAAGAGAACGTCGTAATGAGCAAGTAAAGAATACCGTACGTGATGGCGACGTATAAAGCCATGAGGGTGACAATCGGGGTGATGAAAAGCAGCTTCAATGGCCGGATGATGGCATGCTTGAACTTATCGGCGATATTGGTCTCAGTTTCAAGCTTGCTACGAAGATTAGGGTTGCCAGTCTCCTTGCGCAGCCTTTGAGTCTTCCGCTCGAGCAGAACAGGGGCGAATGTCTCTTTCATTAGGAAGAATGAGAGGGGGATGAATATCCCGGCCTATGGAGATAGTCAGCAAAAGATGATAGCGGTAGAGATTCCGGCAATGTTGAACATACCATAATTGTGACCAACCAGTAAACCCATCTCCAACCAGCGGCCTTGATAAGATAACCGCCTGCGACTGGTCCGATACACGGTCCAAGCAGGGGGCCCATTGCCCATGCTGACATTGCGCGACCTCTTTGCTCAACAGGCATGATATCTGCGATACTGCCACTACCAATCGTAATGGGTACGGATCCTGCAAGACCCATGAGGAAGCGGAAGGCCATCAACATAGGCATATTCTGGGCAAGAGCTGTTCCGACGGTGAAGACGGTAAATAAGACGTTTCCCCAGTTGTAGAGAATTCGACGGCCGTATATCTCACTCAGGGGAGCGACGATCAAGGGGCCAAAGGCGAAGCCTAGGATGTAGACGGAGACGACGAAGGTAGCTGTCATGGAGGATGTTTCGTGAAACTCTACCATAATCTTTGGAATACCAGGTGCAAACATGGAGGAGCCCTTGGAATTGGTTAGTGGTGATAGGGGGCATCTTCGATGGACTGTTGACTTACAAGAGGACTAGGCCTGTTAGCTACTGAAAAACATGTGCCAGGAACGGAAAACTTACGTTACGAGTGTTAAAGTCGAGATGACACCAATGTTAAGCCACTTCTCCTTTGATGGCCAGTTTTGAGGGTTTTGGGGGTCATCAGGGCCGTCCCAGTCGACGATGTTAGGATCTTGGTCGGTTTCTTTTGGGATATCATCCCTATTTTCTGTTGTCTGGGGCCCTGATTCAGGTCGGATTGTTGCGCCCTCGAGGTCAGAGCTGTTGGGAACGAACCCTTTCTCTACGTCCACATCCCTCGGGGTGGATTCCGAGGACCTTGTGTCCGCCATTTTTTAGCTGCTGCTATGCTGATTCGTATCGGGCGTTCGTTTTTGAGTCGATCCAAAGGTGCTTAGGTTGAGACTATAGGTTTGTCGTCGAGGAAAAGTGCTTGGCATGAGCCGCAAGAGACATGATGAAAATCTCAGCAAGGGGATAGGTAACATTATAAGTATTATAGTTGGCGAATACATGCAGGCTTGCATGCAAGATGGGGACGAAGGACTGATCCGATGCACAAAATTGTGCATCATTGTCCCAGCGTTCTAATTGCCAATTGGGCCTAGGCCCCACCACCCGTCGGTGTTAGCAGACTTCAATCAGTGAAAAAGAAACCGAAACCGAGGAACCCTGCGAAACCGAAGGCGAGCCACCAAGCGATTGGACAAAAATGAAGAGTTAGCAGGGGTTCATCCCCAACAGTGACCCCGATGGTCTGGAACTATCTGATGAAAGACAGCCATGTCAACATGGCAGAGACGGGTTTGGGCACCTTGTGGTCGGGGTTTTGCTTGGCTCCTAATTCCACGCCGGGCTCCAACATGCCATTCGAACTAAAAACTTGTTGTCAAATCATCAGATGGGTATGCCCTCCCACATCGGATCAGGATTTTCATACGTCGTATTGTGGCTTATGGAGGAATTAACAAGATCCACAGCCGGGACTCCTTTTCGCAATTGGAGTATACGTCGTATTGCCCTGAGTAGAAAGGCGAAGCAATCTTGTAGCATACAGCCAGGTTCAACCTATTCCCGCAGTCCGTAGTGGCCACTGACGCCCTAAAATGCATCCGTTCATAGTCAGAGCGAGCGCGCTGAGTATTAGCCAAGATAAGACTTGCCTCCTTCCTTAAAATGTACGACGGGGAGAACAATTTAAGGTGAAAAGCGTGCTGCGTTAGAGGTCACTATCCCAAAAACGTCTTAACGTCGGCTCTCTAGTTGTGTGATGAATGGGTCATCTGGCCAAAGTGCTGCATAACCTTTCAGAAACTTGCACAAATCGCCCCGGATAATAGCGCTCCCGCAACTGGCCCCTGCGGGGAAGCCAGGGCTTTAAATTGACTAACTCCGTGTCAACTCAGAGGACACGCATGTCCTGTCATTGCACCGGACACTTGCAAGAGCCCGCCAACGAACCCCGATCCCTGACTGTTGGGTAAAAGAAAGCGAGGGCCCCAGTCATGGTACGGAATTGGCTCAATTTCGTAGTACTAAGTAGGATGCCAGCACATAACACGCTAACGTAATGCCGGCCAACTGGTATTAACGCTCAATGTTACTGAGAAGCTTGGTTAGTTCATGACCAGGAGCTGCTTGATTTCACGCTGCATTGGCGAATACGCGGAACCATCAAGCCTTTATCAAAGATAAGCCTTATGACTTGCATACGGAATCTTTCAGTCTCCCGAATCGCGAAGAACCAGCTCGGTTTTGCCCCTATGTACGAGAACGTCACACATTTTCATTCAAAATTGAGCCACAATTAGGACTCAGCCTTGTACTACAACGGCACTAAAAACATTTGCTTTGTCGCAGTCCCACTAAACCCATTAAGCAATCTGTGCCTGCTACTCGGATTCGGGCCAAGGCTTTCAGTTTCAGCAACCAAACCGATGTGGCACACGTCTGCTACTAGAGTCGGAACGGCAGATGGATAAGACTCCCCAACGTTTGCTTGATTAAGCTTCACCATTTACTATAACGGAAGTGATCGTCGACAACATTAGATAACTTTGGCATTACGTAGCAAACATTTTGTCACGTGAACTTTACGCCGTATATGTTGCTACGTTGAGTTCTTTGATAGGATTTGACGCTTCGAAAAGAGACACTGGCGCAGCATGTTGATTTCTGCAGAGCTTCCATTCTACAAGCGCGTTTATCATTGAACACGCCAATCACGCGGGTGGGGCTTCCTACTTGCGGGAATGTGCCTTGGGGATCTTCAACTGGATAGAGTTGTGATAGACATGCTGATGGTGATCGCTATCAAGCTCTGTCATTGAATTGAAAACTGAATGACACCCTAGAAAAGCTGAACCGTTTTTCTGGCAAGGACGAAAAGACATGCCGACTTTGGTTCAGTTTGGTGCTAAAGTCTATCCTAGAACTGTTAGTGTAAATATCCGAGCAAAATTTCTCATCTCACTTGATTCAACTGCTCTTCAAAATGCGCTTAGGATAAAAAGTTCATCGAAAACTGTACGACTGATGCCAAATTGCCAATGTTTCTATTGTATTGAGCGGGCTATCGTAGCGATCTATTTGCTTGGGCGATTATTAGCACAGATGAATCTTGTTGCCGCCCAGCCTGACATCTCATGCTTTCAATCTCAGCGGTTTTTTTTTTTTTTTTTTCTTGAGTAAGAAAACGAAGAGATGTACTTACAAACCAGATAAAATTTTGCAATTAGGATGAGGGGGAGTATCGGTCTGCTAATCGCCAGTATGGAAATATCAACAGTTGTAATTGGAGAAAATAAGCTGTAGGTTTCACAGGGGGTGAAACGGAATTCCGTTCGTCAATAACAAATAACAGTAAATTGGTTCTAATCGATGGTTCATGATAGTTGAAAGTGGTGTTGTTGACTAGAAGGTGGGGATATTCCCCCTTGGCCTGTCACGTGGGTCTGGGAGGCTTGGGCCTCTCAGCCTGGCGGGCGTGTGGCTGGAAGTGCCACACGACTCCGTATTCCAACTATCGCAATACTGGAAACTCTCTTTTTATGGTGTTGAAGCGGTTGGAATACGTTGTCCCTATATAGTTCCGTCTCCTCGTTAATTCGGCCTCCTATCCTTACTTTCTCCCGTAGTTACGGTCTTGTTACCTATCCCTCTATACGTATCGTTATCGTGTTGCTATCAACGAATCTCTCGAGGGCTCGATTTGGTTTGCTCTTCGTGAGGGTATCAGCAGGGTTGTCTTCGCCGTTAATCTAACGAATTTCTTGTAGTTCTCGTCTTTCGTACGATTGTCTTAACGCCATAATATCGATCATGAGTCGCTTTTCTTTGGTAGTGCCCAGCTTCACGAGACACTCGTATAGCGAATAAGAATCGGTATAGACAACTGTCTGAATCGTTGGTAGGTTGAGGTGGTCAGTGATTGTCGCTAGGGTTGTGGCGAGGGCGTAGGCCATATCGACGCCAGCGACCATCCCGTAGATCTCTGACGCTAATACGCTGCGGGTGACTTGTTTACTCTTCGTAGAGCTGTAATGAACAAGGTTACCGTGAATCGTGAATTCTCCGTTGTTACTATCAGAGGAAGTATCGTTAGCTAGGATGATTAGAAACCCTAATTGGGAGGAGAGGTCGTAGTTATTAGCGAACAACCTGTTAACGAAAACGAATAGCTTAGCTATTATAAGGTCGAGTAGGATAAACGTTATTCCTCGGTTAGGCGATTCTATTTGCTATCGAATCCGTTAATTCAATGCTTTTATCGCTTCTGGCGAGGGGTCTTAGTATTAGGCAGTAGTAGATAAATCGAAACAGGCCTCGGGTTAGCAAATTGACGCGATGTACGCCTTTCTAGCGCGTTGTTCGATATATTGCTGTTTTAGGTTAGGTTTAGTAGTCTTAATATATCGTAACTTCTTAGCTTGTCCCTTTTGCTTTAAATTGATCGAATTGTCGGTTAATAGCGCGATTATCCCTCCGTTGAATTAGAGGGGTTTGTTAATTGTAAGGATATTCTTCGCTTTTGCTATAAAAGCTGCTTTTTCTAACTATTCGTCTTCTAATTATAAGAACGCCTTGTCTAACAAACCGAGGGTATCGTCGGTTTGCATACCGATATAGCCAAAGTATAGATTTTCGGTAGATAAGATTAATAGGCATAGATCGTACGAAGAAGTAACTATCTAGAGATTCTCTCTATAATGCTTATAATACGTTGCCTACTAGTAGGTTCTAGCTTCTGCGATTCCGTATAGAGGCTTTACAACCTTTATAATAGTCCCTTTTAGGTACTAGTCTTGAATTTGCTTCGGTAGGTAGGCGAGAATAGTACGATTAAGCCTTGTAGAGGATTAAACGTAGGCTTATATAATATCTTAAAGCTATAATTATTTCCCTTCTAGTAGGAGTAACGGGGTAATTAATAGAATTAGCTGTTAACTTGCCTGCTAAATCGTTAGCAATTAGGTTAATATAGCCTTCTTACTATCGTCGGCGTAACCTTGTATTATAAGTCTCGATTTCTCGTAGGGTTCGGTTGTTTTACCCTTGACTTCGTTAACGATACGAGATCGGAAGATTCATACGTTCTAGTACCTTTTCTTATTAAACTAGGTAAATTTAAATACTCCTCTAGCGATAAGGCTGTTAATCTCTTGTTTAGTTAACTATTCGAACGGTTTGCTTAGTATAGTAATAACACCTTCTTATCGTAGTTTGATTGCTAATTCTTCGTCTACTTACTCCTTAATCGATAGGAATATTTATTAATAATCCGGGTTATTGTTAAATTCCTTTGTAAAGTAGGCGATTAGTAGTAGTCTCTTCCGGGGTCTGCCCGGGCGTCTTCTCGGTAGCTCCGGTGCCTCTTGCGGTTCGTCTGGTTTACTGCCTCCGCCGGCGACGATAATTTCGTCGCGTACTACTTCCTACTACGGTATCTTAGCTTTAGGTTCTTCTTCTTCTAGCGCGGCGATGGAATTAGGTAGTTGATCGGGATCTTTATAATATAGTTTGACTATAGTAGACCGGAAGGTCTTCAGACTACGTAGCGTATCGATAGTATAGGTTTCGCTATTTATAGCTACTAAAGTAAATAGTCCGGTCTAGCCCTTCTTTTCGCGCTATACTTATACTTACGACCGTAGTAGTAAATTAATAATTAGCTTTATATCAAGGCTATTATAGGTAGCGATAGCTTCTACTACCTATCGCCTTGCGTAAAGTTTATATACTTCGCTTATTGCCTTCTTAATCGCTTTCGCCTGCCTTATGACTTCGGGAGATAGTAGCAAATCGTTAATAATTCGTAGGTACGAGCCGAATA